TGGGGGTGTCCCTCGTCAATTCCTCCTCTGACTGATGAAGTCCTCTGGATAGAGGGCAAAATGTCTCTATGAAAAAGAAACTGTTCAGATGACCTGACTGAGAATTATTGGATTTGGTACCTGGATGACTGAGCATGAACTTTGTTAGCTATTAGTTACATTTGCTAGCCTTATGCTACTTTTAGCTTTTGCTACTTTTAACATTTAGGTAGTGTGCTATAGTCAGCTGACTAAGCGCAAATTAGCTGCTAGTTTTTTGCTACTTTTGACTTCTAGTTGGCCATTTAATAACTTTAGCTTTTAAATGGAATTTTGCTACTTTTAGCTTCTAGCTAAACTTGAAATATTTTAGCTGATCTTTTGTTACTTTTAGCTACCCTTCTACTACTTATAGTGTTAAGCTACCAGTTTGCTATTTTTAGCTTTAAGCCATAATTTTTCTACTTTTCGCTAGGTTTTTTTGTTGCTATTTTTAGCTTTTAGTTGATCTTTTGACATTTAACTTTATTTTTGTTACTTTTAGTCATCAAGTCAAATTGTTATAATTAAAGCACCGCTTTTAGTGCTTAGCTAGCCATATTCACCATATTTAGTCTTTGGCATTGTAAAGCTTTTAGCTAGCTTTTTATTATTTTTAGCTCTTAAGGGGCTACGGTAGCTCAGTGGTCAGTGCCGCAGTCTTGCAATCCTGAGGTTGTGGGTTTGAGCCCAGGCTGCGCCAGGAAGCTCAAGAATCTTTGTTTGCCCGGAGGGATCAAATCTTTCATGCGAGATCGTTCACTGTGGCGACCTCTGAAGAAGAGATCAGCCGAAACAAACTGTAATACTTTTAGCGTCTAGTTAGCATTTTGCTGCTTTTAGCTTTAACAGTTCAGTTTAAGCCTTTTATTTTTGCAACATTCAGCAGCAAATCAGTTCTCAGTGCTTACACTATATAAAAACGTAATTTCTTTAGTTTATACGTTTGTTATTATCTAAAGTCATAACATCCTCTTTCCAGACCGCCCTTGACAAAAAATCCACCGTCAGCACTTTACTGAATAAAGTGACAAAATAAAATAATGGACAAGAACTCCTGCTCCCGCTTCAGGAAACATCTGGACACGTGAAGGAAACCAGAACGGACAGATGTGTGTGACATGTTTTAGCTTTACATGTAAACAAATCAGCTTTAAGGATCTGGGCTGGGGAAGTTAAACCCCTCTTCCACAGGTGAACACCCCCCACATTTATCTGCAGCTGCCATTAAAGGCGATCATGTAAATGTTGGTGTCTGTGTTTGCGTGGATTTCACTGAACATCAGACAACTGCACAGATATTGAGCTAAAACTTAGTGTTGTAGAGTCACTAACAGACCTCGTCAGATATTTGTTTTAAATTCGAACAGGGGAAGTGAGCCGCCGCTGTCAGCGTGTTGCTAAAAGCAGCCTGCATGAGCTTTTTCTTTTGTTACCAGCCTCCTCTGACTTCATGTTTTCCAGTGAGCCCTGCCTTTTTTAGCCCTGCTCTGGACACTTTACACACAAACACACACTTTAACTTCAGCTTAATCCAGCTGGCTTTACACAACATGAGAAAACACACGTCTTCCTACAGTCTCTTTAACAAGCCTGACACTAGAATTGACAAGTTATCCTGGGAATGTTTAATTAAAGACATGCTAATTACATAACGTTTTCAATGCTGCACCTCAAATGTGAAATATAGACACAGAGCATGACTTCCCGTCCTAAACTCTTCATTAATCATCGTCAAACAGCTGGCTATAAAACCCTCTAACAACAAAACAAATGTTCCTTTGTGTGGAAAACGGCTGAAATAAACGTTTCAAATGTCCCATCGTTTTAGCCTGGTTATAGTTCTATTTAAGAAAGTAACAGACTATAGGTCCATCACAGAAACGTGTACGCCTCAGCTGGTTTGTGTCTTACCTGGATGGATTCCTCTCCCTTTGGTTTCACTGAGGTTTGCCACTGAGCAGGCTGAAATACATCGCTGCCGTCTTTACTGAGCAAAACCTGAAAGGTAAATTTAAACATGAACTCCAGAGAGTAAGAAACACCAGAAGTCAGGAGTCCACAAATGTATTACTGCTGTTTTCATCTATAATTTAATGCATTTTCAGTCTATTTGGGATTCAGATTAAGTACATTTTTGCTAAATGTTGAACACAGTTTTATTTTCTCAGTTTAGAATTTATATTTAGTTGCTTATTTATTGATATATATGTTTTTTTTTAATTTAGGTGAAAGTAACATGTGAAACTACTGTAGATCTAAAATATCTACAAGATCCAAAAACAGTCTGTACAATGTATTAAATGGAAATTAAATCAGAACTAGTGAAATTGCATTTCCTGCGAAAATGCAGTGTGAATGTTTTTAGCTGAAATTAGCTAAAAACATGCTGAAAAATAGCTGAAATGAAAGAACAAGCCTAAATCAGCAGAAGAAAGCAGAAACACGTATTTGCTTAATTAAGTTTAAATAAGCAAAAGTTAGCGGGATAAAATGGAAAATTAGCTTAAAAAAGCTAAAAATAGCTAAATAAAAAGCTGAAAAGTAGCTGAAAATGCAGAAAAAAGCTTAAGCTATCAGAAGGAAGTGGAAAGAACTGAAATTAGTTTTTAAAAAGTGCATTAGCTGAAAAGTTAAAATTAGCATCAAAATAGTAGCTAAATCAGCAGAAAAAAGCTGAAACTACCAGAAAAAGCTGAAAGGGGCATAACAAGCTGAAATTAGCATAAATAAGTTAATTAGGCTGAAAGTAGCAGAAATTAACATGAACATTTTGAATTTACCTGAAAACAGCTGAAATGATATAAAAAAATACTAAAAAGTTAGCTGAAAAGTTAGAACAAGCTTAAATTAGCAAAAGAAAGCAGCAAAAACACATTTGTCTAATTATGCTGAAAGAAGCAGAAATTAGCACAAAAAGTGAAAATTTTCAGAAAAAAGCTGAAATTAGCCAAAAAAAAACCTGCTGAAATGTAGCTAAAAAAACAGGAGCTTAAATTATCAGAAGGAAGTGGAGAGAGCACATTTTTGCTGAATTAGACTGAAAAAAGTTGAAACAAGTGCAAAAAATGTGGAATTAGCTGAAAGAGCTCAAATAAGCATAAAACAGCTAAATAGTAGCTGAAATAGCAGAAAAACCTGAAAATGTCAGAAATAAGCTTAAAGAAGCACAAGCTGAAATTAGCATAAAAAATTAAAAGAAGCACAAAAATGTTGTAGTTAGCAGAAAGAATCTGAAAGGAGCACAAAACAGCTGAAAGTAGCTGATTTTTTTTTTAATTTGCAGAAGGAAGCTGAAAGAAGCTGAAGTAGAACTAAAAGTGAAAGAAGCAGTAAAAGGTTGTAAACACATCTAAAGATCTGAAGGATGTAAAATGAGCTCAGTTCATGTTTTTAAAAACGACAGAAAAAGGCTAAATATTTCAAAAAGCTAAAGTTGCACCAATACCAAAAACCATAGCTGGATTGTTCTGAAAGAGCTGAACGTTTTCATTTATGATTTGTCGAAATAGCACAAAAGTTATGGTACGAGAAAGATGCCCAAAAATGTGCGGAAGAAAATCAGATCAGTCGAGTGAATGTTTCATAAACATTCACACAATTAAAAGACTTTCAAATCTCACAAACTCATGTTTTTTTCACAGTGAGACAAAATGAACATAATAAAATAATAAATGTTGAAACTAAGAAACTGGACAATTCTTTTGTCATTTTACATTTGATGGCACCAACACATCTAAATGAAAGTTGGGATGGGGTTAATAAATAATGTCAAAGAAAGAGGTTTGAATCAGAGACAGCTGGAGGAGTATTTACGATTAGATAATTGACAACAGGTGCGTGAGAGGACTGGACGTACAAAGAGGCTTTTAGAGGTTCAGTCTCTCAAATGTAAAGATGGGCAGAGGTTCACCAGTCTCTGACAAACTGAATAAAAAAGTGGAATATCAGAATTATGTTTTTAATGGAAAATTGTGAAGGGGGAGTGGTGGCGCAGAGGTTAGAGAAGGTGGGCCTGTGATCAGAAGTTCGCTAGTTCAACTCCCCAAACCGCCAACATCAAAATGTGGGAGGGAAACGTGAAGCACCCACACCTGCCTCTATTTGCCCCACTCTGGGCCCTAGAGCAAGACCCTTAACCCCCACCATCTGCTCCCTAGATGCAGCTCTCTGCTCCACACAGAGGGCTGTGGTAGCTCAGTGTCTGTGGTGGAGTCAGGAAGGACATCCGGCGTAAAAACAATCGCCAAGTCTTTGTGCGACTTAGTTCGCTGTGGCAAGCCCTGAAGAAGGAGCAGCTGAAAGAAGAAAACTGGAGACTTTAATCTCCATCATCTCCAGTTCCTAATCTCATCAACAGATTAGAAGAATCTGTAGAAATCTCTGAGCTCAAAGGACGAGGCTGAAGGTCTGGATGGTCATGAGCTTTGGGCCCTCAGGGGCTCCTGCATTAAAACCAGGTCTGGTTCTGTTCTGGGCTCAGGAACCCTTCCACAGATCATTGTCTGTAAACACAGTCCATAAGTGCTGTTTAAAGCTCTATCAGACAAAGAAGAAGCCAGATGTGAACTTCCAGATCCACTGCCGTCTCCTCTGGACCAGAGCTCATTTCAAGTGGACTCAGGAGAAGTCCAGAACTGACCTGAGGTCAGAAAAATCTCCATTAGGATTTTTTTTTTTTTTTTTTAAATCACGGACGCCACATCCACCGTACTAAAGAGGAGAGAGACCACCAGCCTGTTATCAGCTCACAGCTCAAAAGCCTGCCTCTCTGATGGTATGGGGGTGCATTGGTGCCTCTGACATACATAGGCAACTTTCACATCTGGAAAAGCAGAAAATGCAGAAATCTATTTATGGGTTTTTGAAAAAAACATGTACGCCCATCCTGGACTGAACAACTAGAAGACTCCATCAGACCAGAACGGGACCACATTCCCTCCAACAACTGGTCTCCTCGGGTCCTGGACGTTTAAAGAAAGAGGATGATTCCCTGAAAACAACGTTACCCTCGAACAGCTTGAAATGAACACATTCTTCTTCTTCTTTCGGCTGCTCCCTTTTTCAGGGGTCACCACAGCGAACTAACCGTCCTGACTCAACCACAGACCACCGAGCTACCACAGCCCTCTGTGTGGAGCAGAGAGCTGCTGTCTAGGGTGCCCGGGGGAGCAGATGGTGGGGGTTAAGGGCCTTGCTCAAGAGCCCAGAGTGAGGAAATGAGGGTGGAGGCAGGTGTGGGTGCAAACAGTTTTTGATGTTGTCAGAACGGGGAGTTGAACCGGCGACCTTCAGATCACAGGCTCACCTTCTCCAACCTCTGTGCCACCGCTCGCCTTGAAATGGATGCCTTACTGTCATTAAATTCATATACGTCCCTCGCTACGTCGCGGTTCGTTTATCGCCGACTCGCTCTATCGCGGTTTTCCAAAATAAGATTAGACATGACACACAACTGGCTGATTGATGGATGAGCCGCACGATCGGCATGGATTTTTTTTATTTAAAATAAATTATTTTAAATTATGTAGCACCTGCTGCACCTTTGTGCAGCCCACACTGCAGGAGAAATGTCCTCCTGCAGCTCCTCCACCTCCTGCAGCTCCTCCTCCTCCTGCAGCTCCTCCTCCTCCTCTGTGATCTCCGTTCTGCTGCAGAGAAGTGGGCGTGGCCGAGAGCGCAGAGAGGAGAGTTCATGACATTCTGTCTCTTTTAGAGCCTTTAGAGTTTAGAAACATTGTTTACAATATTGCAAGAGTGTGGGAAGGGTTTAAAACACCTTTATATATATATATATATATATATACAGTAGTCCCTCGCTACTTCACTGTTCGTTTTTCACGGATTCACTATATCGCGGTTTTTCACTTATTGCTAGGCTTGAGTGTACGGATCCCCTGCAGTAAACGAGGGACAACTGTATATATATTTATTTATCAAAAAATTGAGCAGATTCCAAGTTTTAAAATTTCACATGTTTATGATTTGTGAATAAATTATTGGTTTGTGAGATTTGGAAATCGTTGTTAAAAAAAAAAAAAAAAAAAAAGTCCATGCTCAAAAATCCAAGTACACAATCCAACAAATTTCAGTCAGGTCATCTGGACAGTTTCTTAAAGAACTTTCTTTAAAGAACTTTAAAGAACACTTCTTAAAGAAACTGTCCGGATGACCTGACTGAAAATTGTTGGATTGTTATTCAGTATTTATTTTCATTTTACACAATGTCCCAACGTTTTTGGAACTTCATTTTTATTTCTGCTTGTTTTTCTATAAAATGTGAAGTCTTTAGTAGTTGTGTGTTTTGTACCTTAAAAGGAGCGTTAGGTTTATTCTCGCAGCTCACTCCTACAATCCTGGGCAGGCGCAGATCTGACGTGCCTGTGTTGACGTTGTTGTTGTTGTTGTTTTTGTTTCCACACGAGGAGCCTGTGATTGACAGCTTGGCTGGCCCCGCTGCAGTCTTCTGGTCTGACTTGTCTTTACTCCCAGATATGGTGATCTTCTTGATGGACCTGGAGACGGCTGACGCAGAGGCGGTGTTCTGGTCCAGGTGGTCCTCTGCTGCCATGTGCACGTGTCTTACGGGGGCTGCCTGCTTGACAGTCGGGGGGGCGAGACAGGAGTCGCGTGCACAGACCTGCTGGGATCGACTGAGGTAGAGCGAGTTCAGGTTGTGCTGCAGCACACAGTTGTCCAGAGTCTCACCGGGAAGGTACGTCTGAGGAAACTCCTGGCCTTTGGCCACTGAGGGAGCCGACAGTCTTGTCCCGATGGTGAAGGGCTGCACCTTCCTCACGATGCTCTCAGACATGTCCCAGGCAGGAAAACAGAACCACGCTGAGTCCAAACAATCACAAAAGTCCTCCTTGAACAGATGAAAGCTCAGTTCTCCACCTTCTTGTGCATGTTGAGAATGCACAGCACGCAGCCCAGGACGGCCTCCTTTGACTCCTGGGATCGAACGCGCTCCCAGATGTGCCTCAAAGCTGTGCCGAGGTGGGCAGCGCCCGTCGAGAGGCTTCTTCTGAGGAGCCGAGCCAGAGAGCCTGCCAGTCTGCTGCTGAGGAGCCTGATGACCAGGGACCGCAGCAGGATGAACACTGCTGGCATGCTTCCTGGCTGTGCTACGCAAAAAGTACTGGGAGGAAGAAAAAATGGAGAAGGAGGAGGGTTTGCTAGAAGAAGGGATGAAGTCACCACTTCATCATCTCTCTGTCAGGAGCGACAGAGTGGAGAGAGAAGGAGAGGGGGGGAGAGAGGAGGGAGGCTGTAAAGCCTGGCTGTCAAAACTTCCCCCCTGAGCCCGGACAGAAAAGCTGCCTCTGATAAGAGTCAAAGCAGAGACCTGAGTTAGACCTCTGCAGTCACAGTTTATCCTCCATGAGGTAATGTCCCACAGCTGAATCACTCACCGCCTCTCCCTTCACTTTGAACAGGCAGGTTCAGCCCGGAGGTGTTGGGTTTGGTCCCAGCACAAAAACTGCAGAACAAAAAGACCTGAGCTGAAACTCGTCTTCAGGGTGGCTCTGTCTGGAGGAGTGAGGTGCGCTCCTGCTCCCCAATCAGAGAGGAGCAGCTGACACAGCTGAATGGAGCACAGGAGGTTTGGCGCTCCGGGTCTTAAACCTCTGAGCTGTTGGCGCAACAAGTGTGGAGCAGCTGAGAAGATGATGGTTAAAACCAGTGGTGGTGCTAGGGGGTGGCACAGAGTGGCAGCTGCCACTGGAAAAAAAATCTTGCCACCCCAGTTCTCACCTTATATGTAGGCTGGTGAAGGTGGTACGCAACTGGGCTGTGACAGTTGGTGAAAAGAACTCCTCTGAGTTGTGGAAATGTTTTAAAACTTGTGAATTTTCAGCTTCAGTTTCACTGGAAGTTGATTGTCGACAACCCGGACGACTAATGAACGGTGCAGCTGCAGTCTGTTTTTGAAAAGCACGGCCGGTTTTCATGTTCACTGTCATCTACAATCTCTAATGCGCTACAAACAGAGTCTGTGCAAGATGACTTTCGGGAAAAAGAATTTCTCCAGCAAAGTTTATGTTTCTTATTTCTCTTAGAGTTAGCTGGTTAGTGTGGAAAAGACCTGCAACTGAGCTAAATAAAAGGAAGTGGTCTTTAAAAACAAAAACAACAAAAAAATCTTGCAGACATTCATCATCTTTTACATGCTTCTTCCCTTTTGGATCATGGGGTCACTGGTGCCTATATCCAGCTATCACTGTGCAAGAGGCAGGGGACACCCTGGACAGGTCTCCAGTCCATCACAGAGACACATAGAGACACACGAGACAAACAACCATTCACTCTCTCTCTCTCACCTAGGGACAATTTAGAGTTACCAGTCAGTCTAACATGCATGTTTTTGGTCTGTGGGAGGAAACCGGAGTACCCGGAGAAACCGACGCATGCACGGAGAGAACCAAACGGAGCTGACCACATGTGGATGACAGCTTGGAGTGGCAGAATCGACGCGCCTGTCGTTGATGAGGAGCGGCAGAGAAAATATCTGCCGGGAGCAGAAAGGAAAATCTGCTTCCAGTGGTGAAAGTCTTTTCCTTCAAAATAACTTTTACTCTTCGCCTCTGGCTTGAACTCAGCACCTGGTGTGTTCAAGTGCACCAAAACTCAAAGGATGTAATAAAACTCAGGTTGTCTTGTGTCTTAATTTCAGCTTTTAAATCAATGTTAGTGAAAGAGCTGGTCCGTGCCGCGAAGGCTTTCAGGATTTAAACATGTTCACTTTCAATGTGCCCAGTGTTTGATTTTAATTAATGTTTTCCTGTTCTGTTTCTTCTGTGTGTTATTTTTAGCAGCTAATTGTCGTAGCATACTTTAGTTTTATTGAAATCAATTGGAATTAGAAATATGAGCCAATTGTTAAGCTAATTTTAGCCTTTAGTTACAGCTGCAATCATTTTAGCTGTAAGCTGTGGATTTGTGAATTTTAGCTTCTTACTTACTGTTTTTTGTTTTAAGTTTTGCCTACCTTTTTACTAGTATTAGCTTTTACCTAAAATTAGGACATTTAAGAGTTTAGCTTTTGTTATTTTTTTTTTGTTTTAGCCATTGTGTTGATCTTTTAAGCAACTGTTGTGCTAATTTTAGGTTGTAGAAACTTGTTCATTTTAACTTTTAGCTATAGTTTTGTTCAAGTATGCATTTACTGTATACAGTTTTTTCTAATTTTAGCTTTTGGCTACGCATTTTAGCTTTTCAGCTTTTTGCTACAGATCTGCTAATCGTTGTTTTTAGCTACAGTTTATTTTTTATTTAGTAACTTTTTTTGTTGTTGCTTATTTTATGAAAACAGCTATCTTTAACTTTTAGCTACACATCTGCTCATTTTAGGTTTTTGCTTCGGTTTTTCAAATTTTAGCTTTTAGCTTCAAATTAGCTAACTTTAGCTTTTAGTTATGGTTTTGCTAGTTTTATTTTTAAATAACAGATCTACTAATTATAGTTTTCAGCTATTATTGAGCACATGTCAGGATGTTTTCAGCTATGGTTTTGCTACTTTTAGCATTAAGCTATGGTTTTGCTAACTTCAGCTTTTAGCTACAGATTTACTCATTTTTCCTTTTAGCCACAGCTCTGAGAATTTTAGTTTTTAACTATAATTGTATTGGTTTAGGTTTTAGCTACCATTCTACTAATTTTTTGCTTTTAACTGTTTTGTAAGTTTTTGGCTTCGGCTTGTTTTACCTTTAGCTCAGTTTCAGCTTCTTCAACACATCCAGAAGTCATTCAGCTCTCAGCATTCGCGCTGTCTTTTCTGTAAAAATTCATTTTTTGTGTTCTAGTTATTTTCAGAAAGTCTTTTCCTCAACAGGACTTCTTATGATACGATCCTCATGATATGATTGAAGCCATGATGGCTATAAAAAAAGCTCCTCTGGTTTCATGATGAAGTCATCCAAGGAAGAGTTTTAATGAGTTTCAGCTGGAAATCAGAGATAAGTTCTGCTCAGGCGGGCGGTGTTCACAGAAGGCTGGACGGGTGGAGTTCAGGAAGTTTGGTGAACTTTAAAGTGACGTTTCCTCGTTTTGCTGAGTGAGTGGTTCCTGACACGAGCAGCTTGTGAGTTTGGTGGTAAAGCATTAATTTGTGCTCGGTTAAATGAACACACTGCGCCTCAACTCTGCAACATTTACACAAGTTCAGAGATTTTAATCCCTCAGATTAAACACAAAATCTGAATCACACAGCAGGGTTGTAATCTCAGTGTCGGATTTTCAGTTTTAGCAAATTTTCTAAAGGGTCTCACTTCAAAGATGTAACACTTTCAGTGAATTTAAGATGTTTATTTGAAATGGGAAAGTTCAGACTTTTGAAGTTGGGTTCTGTTCATGGCACCAGGAACTAGTTTCAGGTAGAATGCCCCCTCTGAGTTGGGGGGGGGGGGGGTCTTTGCTTCAAGTGGAAGAGTTCAGGTATCTGGGCATCGTGTTCACGGGTGATGGTAGGATGAAGAGGGAGATGGATCAATGATTCTGGACTATTGTCTTCAGTAATGAGGGTGTTGCTTTGGTCAGTTGTGGTGAAGAAAGTTGAGTCATAAGGCAAAGCTCTGGATTTACTGGTTCGTCTATGTCCCGACAAGGCGACACAGTGGATCAGTTGATAGAGCTGTTGCCTCTTAGCGAAAAGGTTGCCGGGTCAAATCCCAGACGGGGGCCTTTCTGGGTGGAGTTTGCATGTTCTCTCCGTGCATGCGTGGGTTTTCTCTGCAGACTTCAGTTTCCTCCCACAGACCAAAAACATTCACGTTAGGTTGATTGGTAACTAAATTGTCCCTATAGAGTGAGAGAGTAAATGGTTGTTTGTCTCATTTGTCTCTATGTGTCCATGTGATGGACTGGAGGCCTGTCCTGGTGTCCCCTGCCTCTTGCACAGTGATAGTTGGACATGGGCACCAGTGACCCCCTCAACCCTAAAAGGAAGAAGTAGGTAACAGATAATGGTTGGATGCATGGATGGGATCAATGTCCCAAACCTCACCTATGGTCCTGAGGTTCAGATCATGACTGAAAGAACGAGATCTTGGATCCAAGTGGTTGACATGAGTTTCCCTCACAGTGTGACCAGGGCTCAGCCTTAGAGACAGGGTGAGGATCTCTGTCATCCATGGGGAACTTGTACTTTAGCTGCTCCTCTGAATCAGAATAAGTTAGTTGATGTTGTTTGAGCATCTGATTAGGATGCCTCCCTTAGACGTTTTCCAGGCATGTCCCACCTGGAAGAGGCCCTGGAGAAGACCCAGAACTTGTTGGAAGGATGCTGTATCTTCTCTGGCCTGGGAACACCTCAGGGTCCCCCAGGATGAGCTGGAGAGGTGAGTGTCGCTGGGGAGAGGGAGGTCTGGGTTTTTCTCCTGGACCTGTTGCCTCTATTTCACGACTATGAATCATTGGTAGAAGATGGAGATGGTCCTGGAGGTTTTCAACACCTAATATGCTAAGGTGGAATCTCACTGGGCTGCGACTGTTGGAGAGGAGTTGGTGACTCAGAATTGCACAGAAATATGCAAATTTTCTTTCGCAGTTTTGAATTCTGAGTATTTGTGACCAAGCGACCAACGAGTCATGTAATCACACATTGAGTGCCTGGTATTTAAAATTCTTGTCAAATTCTTGTGTGCATGGCTTGCAAAACTGCGTTTTTGAGTGTGCACGGCTTTTTTGTGGCCTACCTCCACCCGTGGTGTACCCACCTCAGCTTGCTTTGCACTCACCTCGGCAGCTGTTCACACTTTTATTCTGTACTAAATGATTTCATGAATTCAGTTCACCAACTGATGGTAGCTTGGTAAGACACTACTTGTACTGGTTACAGATAGCGCTTTGGATGTCTTAAGTTTGGAGAAACTGTTTACTTCTGATAGGATTGATGAGCTAATGCCTAGTCCGTGCAGGCCTAGACCAAAGTGGACTGCTGCCATGTTGAAACAGCTTCAATTTAAAACGTTAATTTAAACGCAGTTATATAAACCATTTCACTGCCGTCAGCTTTGCATTGACCGCTTTGTTCTTGAACCCACAAGCCTGAGAGATTGTCAGTTTAGTCAGAATTCCTTCAAACTGAGCTGAAATTCATCCATCCATCCATCCATCCATCCA